TGCTAAATATTCTAATGCATCATCTTCAGTTACTAACAGTATAATGTAAGTGATCAATATTGGTATCTAGTATCAGCATCTATATAAATACATTATATATACTGTACATTAATTATACTGTCATTAATCGTGGAATGTAGCTGCATAGACCTGATATTAGATTGTGTCCTCTTCTGACAACAACCTGACAGATTTAGGAATCACATCGACAGTAACAGACTTAACAGGGAAAATTATTTCATACATTAAAGGCCTTCAGTAGTTTTTTTGAATGAAAAATACTGATGTGATAATTCAAGCACACAGGGGATTTAATCTGTTTTGTGAATGTGCAGTGAAACCAGATGGCCTGCTTGTAGTCTCTCTGGGAAATCGACCCAGTAGGCCACATGGACCTTTGCCCATTATCAGACTATTACACACACACACAAACACTCAAGCTACCCTTGATATAACAATTTGTAGCCTACATTGTCTTCGCATTTTTCTTTATCCACAAAGAGTCATTTTAAAACACTTCACAATGTCTTATTGGTTATTCAGGGTCAAAACAAAGGAGGCAACAATCTAGGGCAGGCCATTACACCAGACTCCTCTAAGGAATTAAATCATCATTTTAAATCATTTGTAGATACATTTTCCTTCCTTTCAGATTAGCCTATTTGATTATTCTCACTCTGCTTACTTACCTTTGAATAATATGTATGGCTGAAGTGCTTCTTTCCAACTTTGCCTCTCTTAAACCAATGAAATTATGGCAAAAGAGCAGTGATAACTGTATCTATTAAAGCAAAGGAGATAAAACAGCTCCTTTGTGTCCATATTTGTGAACCTTGACAAGTTTTCCTTTCTGTCTCACACAAAATAATACAAGCCATCCGTATCTACAGTTAGAGGTCAAAGTTTAGTCTAAGGTTTTGTTTTCTCTCTAGGCACAAAAGACCCGAACGCTTGAGTAGTTGAATGTAAGAAACTGCAAACAAATCTCAAGAATGGGCATTTAATATTGTAATGATTAATAATGATTATGCCTCATTTACTTTGAGTCCAGTCAAACAAGAAGAACTAGATTGAGTTAGTCTTGATCAATGTCAGTGTACTGGCCTTTATGTTTTCTTTCGTATCAACCCTTTTCAGGCTCCAGGTTGGGCCTTCTTTCTCAGCGCCTTAGGTCTCTTCATCTACCAATCACTGGACGCCATTGATGGGAAACAGGCCAGACGGACCAATAGCAGCTCGGCTCTTGGGGAGCTCTTTGACCATGGCTGCGACGCCGTTTCTACAGGTATAATCAGCTAGACAACCTTTCACTATTTAGTTATGAGTAATATTTAGTAGTGTTTTTGTTAAGCATCACTATTACTGCTTAACATCTATGGTTAGTGATCGGAACAAACGACTTTTGCAACCACTTAGCAACACCCACCATTAATAGTCTGTTAAAAAAAAACTAGTTTTTAATATATTGTTGTTTACAATAATCATATTTATCATATGCCATTTGTTGTTTATTATTATTTATTACATACAGTATATATTAACAGCACTCTAATTGGATTGCTCTCTTAGTGTTTGTTGCCGTGGGAACATGTATATCCTGTGGGATCGGCACTTATCCTAACTGGATGTTTTTTTGCGGCTTCGTGGGCATGTTCATGTTTTTCTGTGCACACTGGCAGACATACGTGTCCGGGACACTCCGCTTCGGCTTGTGAGTGCATTCACCGCTTATTCGCCTGAATTTATTGAACCCGTCTGTGTGATGTTATTTTTTTAACTGTACTGTATTTTTGAATGTTTTTTGCAGGGTTGACGTGACAGAAGTCCAGATTGCTATTACAATCATGTATCTGATGACAGCATTTGGAGGAGTGAGTCTTTGGGAGACTAGGGTACGTCATTCACCTTCTTTAGCATCACACTGAGCCTCTGAAGTTTCTTTCTCGTTCATAACGTTTATAAATTCACTCCCATTCTAATCGCTGAAGTTATCCACACTGGAAGAGTACATTGTGGCCAATCACAAAGTGCTTTCAAATGATGGACACGGTGTCTTTTTTGACTTGATGCAGCGCTACTTATTTTCCCTAATTGGTCTGACATAATATGATTTTACTTACAAGTATCATGTTGTGTGAACTGACTGCTATTTTACTTAATATATATTTAAATAACTTATGACAGTTACATCAAAGTCAGCTTGTGATGTTAAGTGGCCTACTAATTTAAAATCAATCAATTACAAATTTTGCTTTAACCATGTGCATACTAGGGCTATGTCAAAACAATCATCAATACATATTGCAATTAATTTTCCTCACAATTTCACATCTATTTATTAATAGTTTTTAATTTGTTTACAGGTTTATTTACGTAATACCAACAACAAATATTGATATAATAAAAAAAAGTGTGTGCATAATAACCTGCTTAATAATTATGCACTTATCTGAATAGAAGGCATTTTTCACTTCCAGCCCCCATTAACAATTAAATATCATTTATAAATCATTATGTACAAAGTCAATAGTAGTTATTAAGATAGAGGTGGTTTGGAATTGGTAAAATGTACTTGAAAAACAAATATGATCAGAATATTATTGACTTACATAATTATGCATGCACTATATATATTAATAGAATAATAATAATAATAAAAACATGAATATGAATATAAGTAAATATAAATATCATATATTTTATTCATTTTTATTTACATGTTTATTAATAATATTAACAATAATAAGAATGATAATAAATTTGTGACAATAGCACATCTTTTTTTGTTAACATTTTTGTTTATTTACATGTTTATTCACAATACTAACATAATAATACACTTGGGTAAATGTAATATTATATATCTTTTTATTAATGGTTTTGTTTTATTTGCATGTTTATTCACATAGAAACATTCTAATATTAAATATAATAATCTCAGTTGCAGTGTGGCATGCATTCAGGCGCTTCCAGTGTATACACAGTGTCAGAAAATTATTTTAAAAGGGTTCTACAGACTGCATATTTTATTAAAAAAAAAAGAAAAAATATCAAATCCTCCAAAACTGTGAATCATGACAGAGCCCCCTTTCTGAGTGTGTTCTTTAAGTAGACCTGTCTTTTGCTCTCTGCCTCGTGCCTCCTCTCTGAGGACAAACGGACTGTGAAAAGGTCAATATAAGGTGAAAACTACTACTATGGCTACCAGTCACCCATAGACATTGCCAATAAAACAAAAAGGCACATCAGTCTTTTCTAACCTCTCCCTATTTTATAAAGCTTACTCAGAGCTTCAGAGCTTTTTATTTCGCCCTTCCAAAATAACAGCTGTTCTCATATTAAGGCATTGATTTTCTCATTCTTTCACCCAGGTGCCTGTTCTTGGTGTGAATTTGCAAACCTTTCCCATTCTCGGTATTATCGGTGGGTTTCTGTATTCAACCTATAACTACTTCTATGTCATCCTGAACGGTGGGGTGGGCAAGAATGGCTCAACTGTTGCAGTAAGTGCTCTCCAGCAGTGTATTCATCACTGAGGTCTGTTTTTGGCTTAGTTCTTCTTATAATAGCCCAGTCGCCAGATTTAATGTAAGGCAAAGATTAAAAAAAACAGTGATCTCGTTAGGGTAAATAGAGCACCTGTCTTCCTCAGGACACCAGTGTATTGTCTCCTGGTCTACACATCGGCCTCGTCCTCTCTCTGGCCTTCATCATCTTTAAAAAGTCCTCCAGTCAGCTTTTCGAGCACCATCCTTGCCTTTACATCCTTACATTTGGCATGGTGATCGCCAAGATCGCAAATAAGCTGGTGGTGAGTGCTGCTGATGCCTTTATGAGAATTCAAAATTGTTATTTGGCCCTTGTAATCATGAGCTTCATCATTTTCATAAACAGTCATCCAAAATGCATCAGGTGTTTTCAGGTATGCTTTCTTTTACAGGTGGCCCACATGACCAAGAGTGAGCTTCATCTTCAAGACACAGCCTTCATTGGTCCTGGACTCCTTTTTCTAAATCAGTATTTCAACAGCTTCATTGATGAACACATCGTGCTTTGGATCGCCATGGTGAGCCACAACCATTACTGGGTCAAACCACTAGTACCTAGTCTATCTATGGGTACAAATAAAGTGAACCTGAACCTAGTGTGGCACCACTGCGCTTAGTGTTTTCAATGTTTTTAAATGCAGTATCTGAGGCAAAACTAAACGAGTCTGTGTCTTCTCCATCCTGATGTTTAGGTGCTGTCCCTGGTGGATCTGCTGCGTTACTGCACAGGCCTGTGTCTGCAAATCGCCTCCCACCTGCGAATCCGGGTTTTCAGCATCACCCCACAGGGCCACGCACACAGAGACTGACAATTTGCCCGGCGGGAGGAGGAAGCGGGATTTAAGGATGAAGACATTGTCCCGCTTCTCAAGCTAGAGCAGGAGAGCCCCACCAACCAAAACCGCAACGGCCTTGACAGTGTGACCACCACAGACTAACAGAATTTAACGTTTTGCCAGGTTTGACCAGACCAGCTCGCATTGTTTTTTTTAACCACACTACTGTACACTAGAATATATCACTGGATGAAAAGAAAGAGTTTAGACAATGAAATGTCCAAAACGTGGCCTTGGAGGCCAGAGGGCAGCATAGCCCTTAAGTTTTCTGTTGCCTTGAAATGGTTCATTCTGTGCAGGAACACATTAGAAATTATTATTTTTTCAAAGGATAAAGAAGGAAATATTGGTGGGAAATCAAACGTTAACTGAATTTGAATTGGCCAAAAACTTTTTGCATAGAATCATTTCCTAAATATTTTGCATCCAAACCATTTGGTCAAAGATAAAGATGAGCAGAAGAATAAAAAAAATAATGGAGGAAACTTTTTTTTTTTTTTTCCACAATAGTATTTATCACAATAGATTTGTACCTTGTTTTTTGGGTTTGATCACGTTTGTCAAATTTTAACAAAAAAGGGAAGCTACAACTGCAATTCGGGCATCAGTTGCCATTAACCAAAGTCCATTTTCGACATTGAAATAACCATTATTTAATTTAGGCCCATTTTTATAGGTCTGATCTTGATAAATACAACAGACGCAAGTATTACAAACATATTTCTCGGTTTTAAGGGCTGATATAGTCGCCAAAACTGCCAAAAATAGTTTACACCACAGAACCTTTTTTACCATGCAGAATTTTTACTGTTGTTAAAAAAGCAGCTATTTGTAGATCATGTGACACTTTATAGAAGAAAATAAGCTCCAGAAAAGAAAACTGCCCAAACAGCCATTGTAGCTTGAAGTAAAAGAAAACGTTTTGTGATTGTCCAGTGATTACGGTGTATGTATTTATTTGAATAATCTGACTGAATTTAGTGTGAAATTAAGTCAAGCCTGTTTAAAACAAAAATAATAATTGAAAGAACTTAATTGTCAAGGATTGTGGCTATGCGCTAAAAACAGACTCATCTCTCCACCCCCCTCCCCAGTCACCCAATTGCAGTCTGCTCAGTCTTCCTGGTTGTGTGTTTCACTTCCTAGAGCTTGAACTGAGCACAAACAGAGTTTTTGAACATTGCCTTTAGCTCTGTTTTGAGGGATTTTGGGGGGTGTTGACCTTCTGTGCCCGTTTTATGATGCACTCTCTGTCTGCTTAGAATCATCTCCTTCCAAAGGGCTAATAAAAACAATAAATTTTGTGTGATTTGAATATAGCACTGTCTAAATTCCGGTTCTTATGTGTTTTGGGGTCTTCATACTTTGTACATTTCCTCCTTCTGAAGCAAGAATCAAATACACATAACAGCTAAAAATGTGACTCAACAGGAGCAGCAACATTTGCTTGACCAATGACATTAACCCAGTTCAAAACAACAACAAGGCATATCAATGCAGTAAATATTTTTAATTAACATATTTGGCTGTTTCATTACGCATCAGCGTTCAGATTATGTTCTTATTTCATTATCAAATTAGGCACCTGGTTTAATTTACATTTGACACAAAAGTGGAAAAGTGTCCTAAAATAAAGAGACCTAAAATAAGTGTACTTTGAGAGAATTTTAGCAACATACATTTCCAAAATAAAACAAAGATATGCTTGTACATTACAATTATGTCTTTTCTAATATAATAAATAAAAGTAAACAGGGAAATTCATCTCAGAACAGCATTATCATTCATCACGTTTCCTAAACTCAAGCCTGTTTTATAAGGCATGTATGCCCTGCAGAGGTTTGGGGTCAGTAGTCATAGCGTTTGAGCAAGCCAAGAACGATTCCCTTTAAAAGACAAGTGAAGGTGAGGAGTTAATTAATACACACCAGGGCCACAGGCGGTGGCATCTGAATTTCAGACAAAGTCAGTATTTAATGTCCCACTAAGAGACAATCACGTGAAGGATTTCAAGCAAAAACGACATGCATTTAAAAAAAGAGAAAGAGAAGGAAATGGCTCATTTTTGATGATCCTTGCTAAAATTTCCAAGTATCACGATTGCTATTCGGCTGTAAAAATGCTCCCGGAGATTCTGTGCCACTTTGGAGTAAGCAAGCGTGAAAGACAAATTCAGACAAATGCAAAAAGCCAAACGCAAGGCAGAAAGTTCCAGCCATGCATCTGAGTCCACCGCTTTCGTTCATGTGGTAAAGAAAGGCACTGAAAGGATGAGGAAGGAAAGACAGGACAAAGAGAACAAGAGAAAGAAGAACAACAACCCTTAACGGGTAGTATCTTTACCCTTGACATTCCCTTATAAATTAAAAATCCTATTTCAAATAATTACAATTCAGACACGCAAGGTAATATGGCAACACACTCAATATGGGCCATTGAGTTCAGTTCACATTCAATACACAACCTAGAGTGTGATCGCTTGCCTCGTGGGCCCCAGCGTGTCTCACTAATGCCCCTTTGTGGAGGAAGTTTCTCCATCAACTTCATCCAGTCACCTCCAAATGGGTATTTTTATCTGACCGCATTAACAGAAGTACGACTCTGGAACTTCAAATTCACAAGACACAAGCTCTGAGAAAGGAATAACCTCACACCCGCTCTGGGTTCGCATCCTTGCTGACCCTGTGCCTGGGGAAAATCCGCCGTTTCAACATGATCAGCTGAGGGACAGAAAGAAAAGGAAGAGGAAGGAGTGTCAACCAAACCTGTTATGAATGCTGTGGGGCAACGCGTGACAGACACGTGATACACATACAGTATAGAAACAAGATCAACATATGACCAAAACAGGGAAGAAAGAGGAACAAAAGACTAATACCATAAAGACTAATTCTAGAATAAAACAGTATTCAGTTCAGATTCACTATATTATTCTAATTAATAATTCATTACAAATTCTACTTTTTTTTTGTGAATTGATTCAGAAAAGTTTGACAAAGATACATGCATCACTGAACTGATTTTTTTCCACCCACGCCTTATGAAGTGCTATTTAAAAATAAAAATAAATCAATTATTTTTATTAATTTTAAAAAGTACTTTCAACTACTTTTCCGGGTCTTTCAGAAATATATCCATATTTACAAATGTTTAATTGTTTAAACAAATAAACACGTATTTTAATTAATACAAATTTAGCTGAAATGTTTGAAATGGTTAAATGTGAATGGAAAAAAAATTGTGAAGAAAAATTCAAACTGACAAATAAATAGACATATTTAAAGCCATTTCAATGTTTAAAATGATAGTTAAATGCAACAATACAATAGCACACATTAATAAATCATTTATAAATTGGATTAAGAAAAATAAAAGTTTAAAGTTCACTAGACGGTTAGCATGTTAAAGTGGCCAGTGAAATTTAAACTTTAATTTTTCTTAAGCCAATTTGAAAATGATGAAAAAACAATGTGTAAAATGTTTTGAATAAGTATTTATTTGTTAATTCAATCGTACTGATTAGTGATTATAAATACATAATATTTAATGAATATAAACAATTTAAAATATATAATTTTTAATTAACACATTAATGATTGGTTTCATTGCGTTTTAAGTGGCACTTCAAGCCCTTCATAACCCCTAACTAATAACACTTTAAAAAATAAAAATAATGAGAAAAATGAGTGCTGCATATAAGCAGGAATTCCTACAAAAGAAACAGGAAGTGACTATATGAGTTAATGAGGAGACTGTAAATCTGTTCTGAAGATTGTAATTAAGCCTGTTAATGTGCTCGTCTGTCAGAGATGAGCATGCAGCCAAACATGACATGGCTCTACATGCATGTACGGCAGCAGAGGAAGCACCCGCTGATAATGCATCACCTCCATATTTGTACTTCTGGTGAGTGTTCACATTACTGTTCTGTCACTAAGGACAGATGAAGACACATTGGTCCTTAAAAAGGTCACCGTGACCATTAACCTCTCCAAAAGACAGAAACCTGACCCCGCAATTAATAGTGTGACTATTTGCTGCAAGCTGCCTGGTTGATCAATCATCAGGATGATATTTTTGCCTTTACCATTTCCTTAAAAGAACACAGAGGGTTGCTGGTTAAATTTGATATATTAGTTGCTAATGGTAATGAGACTAGCCAGACTCCACCGGACTCAGTGTTTGTTTCTCTCTGTCTGTGTGTGTGTGTGTGTGTGTGTGTGCGTGTGCATGTGTGTGACAAAGTGAAATGAAGAACGAGAGATAGTGGACAATGGATGTATAAGCTGAACCGTACTGACCTGCTCAGCAAAGAACGATATGACAGTGAAGACGACTAACGTCACCAGCACACAGTGGGTCCAGAACTTCAGCTTGTCCCTGTATATTCGCCTGTGAAACAGAAGATCAAGGCTGGTTAGCCCTTTACATGGTAGATGCTATAACTACACAATCTGGATCCAACAAGCATCATTATATATTGACAACCATTCAAAAGTTGTTGTGTACTCTGATAAAAATACACATTTTAGCTGCATTGGTCAATGTTGTAATTTTCTTTTCCTGCTGCTCCAGAGTGAACAGAAATGTTTTGAATAGATCTACAGTTATAGAACTCATTGCAGTTTAACTCCAAAAGTGAAGGAAATTGCAAAGCCCTTTAGGAATATAAATCAAGGTCAAATATCTAATCTAATCTAATCTAATGATCTAATCTATATAATATAATAAAATATACACTACTGTGCAAACATTTGGGGGTTATTTTTAAGTTTTATGCTCACTAAAGCTGCATTTATTTGTTAAAAATTACAGTAAAACCAGAAATATTGTGAGAAACATTTGTTATTATTATTATTATTATTATTATCAATGTTGAAAACAGCTGGTGTTGCTTAATAGTTTTTATAAAACTATTGTTGTGTTGCTTAAAATATATTTGCAACAGAAATCTTTTGTAATCTTTATGATCAATTTTATGCAGCACAGCTCAAATATTGAATACATAATATGTGTTAGAAATATTATTAAAAATAAAAACATACACCATTTCAGAAAATTTGATCTGTAATGACTCCAAAAATGTAAACTATTAAATAAAAAAAATAGCATTTTCCTTGACACCTTTAATACAGTGTACACACCTCAATCATTGTTCAATATAATAATTGAAAATAAGTCTGTATAGACAATTGAAAATATGTCTGTATTGTAATGGTGAGTTCATTCACTGCTGTCAGCATACAAGGGCAGGAATGGTAATGCTGTCTTAACTCTTGCCAGATTCAAAACGGTATATTTATCAAGAGTGTGATTAACAGTTCACAGTGACTCAAGTTTTGTTGTCACGCAGCAGGCTGTCGGAGGTGAGAGTGTGACAAGGTGACATCATCATCTATGAGGAACACAGTCCGTTACCCTTTTGTCACCAGCATGTCTGTGTCTGACAGAGCCAATCTGCAGATACACAGCTGTTAAAATCAGCCTATGGGGTTGCTCGAGCCTAGCAGTACCCAAAAATAACACCCTGCCCCTCGGCCCGGGCAGGTCACACGCCTCTGATAGGGCTTTATGGGGCATCTGGGTGTAACAGAGACCCGCTCTGGCTGGTTGAGCATGAATGGCGAATGCACTAGTCATAATTTCCAGCCTGTAACCATCCAAAGGATCGACAGATACATAAACCCTTCTTCAACCACCTCCCCATTCCCAGAATTCCAGATTGTGTCGACAGCTATCACCCAACTTCACACAGTGATGACAGGAAGGAACGTTTACCAGTATTCACAGGAGTAAAGCAACAGAAACAGGCAATAAATCACACACAACTAAATGTAAACAGACTTGTGAAGCTCATTACAACAAAACCAAATAGATCTCTACACCAATAAACCATTATATTCAGGGACTAATGATTCGAAAAGTTGTGAGACACGTTGTAAATCTTATTGGGTTTAAATACTGCCATTTGAAAGCTTAAAGTTCATTCAAAATGATTGATGAATAAATCAGTGATTCAATTCACTCACTTCATATTGTTCCAAACCCATATGACTTTCCCATATGGGTTTCTTCCATGAAACACAAAAGGAGATATTTTGAACAATGTGCTGGCTGCTCTTTTTCATGCAATAAGTAAGCCTTAAAAAGGCTTAAAGAATTAAATTTTAGTTTGTTCTTTACACAAAGCTATCACATGACATCTGAATTATAGTAAATAACTCATATGGACTAATTTTACGGTGTTTTTGTATCCTCATTGTGGCTTCATAAGCTTGTGTACATTTTATGTACACATGTTAAATTTTAATTTTTCAAAATCAATTTAATTTAATGGTACATTTTTGAGGCTTGAAGTTCTAGTACCCGTTCACTATATGGTCACATTTTTCAAAAACAGTATTTTAGTATTATTTATATGCAATTTTATAGTATTATTTATTACTCTGAAATAGTTTTATTTGTATATTTTCAGTTTTCACTTTAATTTTATAGTTTTTGTAATATTATTTTTATTTTAGTTTTAGAAATTTTAGTTCAACTTTTATTTCAGTTAGTTGCCAAGACTACATTTCCGATTTTCATTTAGTTTTCTTCATCCAAGTTTTATTTTATTTCAGTTTTATTTCAATTAATGAACGTTTTTATTAACAATAACAACACTGCTTCAAAAATATCCTTTTTTTCCGAACTGGTTTGGAAGGTTTGGAAGGTTTGGAACAACATGAGGGTGATTAATGAGGAGTCTTTGGCTACAGTTCAGTTTTTAAGTCAGTGTTTTATGTGGACAGATACTTTTGTTTTCTTTACACTACCATACAGATTAAATAATTCTTTATTTAGGTTTAATGGCTGCTATGCCTTTATTCCAACACTTTTGTTTTTTATTTTTCATGTCGAGATTAGGTCCATTAGTTTCATATTGAACTACTGGGTTTCACTAAACTACTCCTACCAGACTTGGTGTGTTCTGTTCATACTTCAGATTCGGTAATGAAACTTGAGGTATGTACACAGACCTGTTTGACTTGTCTTTGTTAAATGCTTATTTAGGTTTCTGTCTTTTACACAAACATGCACTGCATGACTGTTTGTGACTAAACTCTTACCACTCCTGCAGCTCTGTCATGTGGAGGAAACGGTTTCTGTATTCTCTGGGCAGCTCAAACTGAGAGGGCAATGGGAACATTGACTCATAGAAGTCCCTCAGTACAGCTTTGACTGTGCTGGCATCCTTATGGCTGTGGTCAATATTGTCATTCAAGCAGATAAACTTCCTGTAGGCAAAAAAAAAAAAGTGTATGAGGCTTCCCAAGGTGCGCAAAAAAAAACAGGAACGAAAGTCCCTGAATGTACCTAGGGTTCTTCCTGATGTCATCAAGCTGCCCCACTACATGAGAGACGTTGGTCCGTATCATCTTAAAGGCGATCTCCTCTTCGCCCATAATTTCAAATCTGAAAAGAACAAGAGCTTACATAACTAACCCGGTCTCATAAGAGATGCTGCTGAAGTGTTTGTGGGAACTTAATGAAAATCCTACTTGTATTTATTCTGGTCCTTGAAGGCTTTGTGGATCCTCTCTGTGATGGGATTGCAGTGGATTACTAAACCTTTTGTGACGGGTGGCTGTAGGAACATCAAAACACTGATTTTTTTTAACAGTACCAACAAACGCACAGACAGAAGAGCTGATGATACAAGACGTGCCAACCAAGACAATATTATAGTGTACAGCCTAAAGCTATGCATGGACAAGGTGATGATCACTTAATAAACATTTTGTGAGATTTTATAATCTAATATTTGATTTGTATACTTGTGTTGGAATATTTATTAAGACTTTGAACAGTAGCTCTCACCATGCTGGGGTCATAATAGGCCTCCTGGGTTGGGCTGACAGTATGGAGTTGCGTAAGGTTGGACGGAAGAGTCTTCGAGCAGTTTATAAGCATCTGCTCCAGACTGGTCAAATCCTGTTTAGAGTCAAATAAACAGACATGCCTTTCCTCAACACATGGGTAAGACAGACACTCATGTGGTGTCCCAAAAAAATAAAGTTATACATGCCTTGTGTTCACTTCACAAAACCACTTCCTTACCACATATTTGACTGTCCTGCTTCATTGTTAATCGTTTAATTTCTATTTTTTTTTATTTAATATACATTTAATAATATAAAATAATTAAATCACAATTTACTTTAAATTTATTTAAATTACATTTTAAATGGAAATAAATAAGACTAAATTAAATTAAAATATATTTGACAGCAATTAAAAACAAATAAACTAAATGACATTTTAAATTCAAATAAATTTGAATACATATTAAATTAAACAATTACATTTTAAATAAAATGAGACTACATTTTAAATAAAAATATATTAACTATATCAAATTAAATGTAACTACATTTTAAATTAAATTAGACTGCATTTCAAATGAAAATAAATTAGACATTTACATTAAATTAAACATTTAAAAATAAATTTACATTTGAAAATAAAATAAATTAATCTATATTCACATATTACATTTTAAATTAAATTCTAAATTAAATATTATTTTGAAAAATATTAATTTTTTTATGTAGTAATCAAGTAATTTTCTCTGTACTGTGGTGAGAGGGTGGTGTGTACCTGAAGGCTTAAGGGGAGTTCATGGATTCGTGTGGCCAACGTGCGAATCTCACGATCAGACAGCACGCCAGAGTGGTCTGTGTCAATTTCGTCAAACACTTCAGATATATTGAGCTGCTGCACTGCACTCATCAAGAAGTAGAAATAAGAAAAGGCAAACTGCATGTCCTCTGAGTGACGCACACGGTGGGACGAGGTCTTATCAAACTCCTGAGGGAAGCTGAAGGAGCAAGATATCAAGACAAAAAAAAAAAGAAAGATTAATTCATATTCATTTACTTTTACACTGAAGGAACTTTTGAAGACATCTGAATTTCGGTGGCCAAAATTTTGTTGCATTACTTTAAAATCACTTAGTCAATCTATAGATTAACATTCAACTGGTACATAAGTCTGTGTGTATGTTCTGACTCTTACGTGTCCTGTAGTTCCTGCATGACGAGCCTGTCAATCATGTGAGGCATGTGAGCAGGCACTTTGCGGGAAGTGAAGCCGAATTGAGCATTCAAGAGTCTGTTGACATAGCGGAGTGAATCAGCAAAAGTGTCCCGCAACCTGCGTCCAGTGGCGGTCCCATCAGCTGCATACTGCAGTTCTCTCTGTAGATGCTCCTCTTCCTGTGATGCACAAAAAAGACACATACAAAGATCAATGAATGGGAGAGATTGCAATACTTAATGTGGCAGCAAGAAGTCCTGCCTTTCAGTTACAAGAGACAGTTTTGTTTACTCTAGAACAGTGGTTCTACAGTGAACAGTGGAACTCTATCCATCCATCCATCCATTTATCCATTAAAATATAATTAATATTGATATGAATATTAATAATTTTAATATTGATTAATATTTAATATTAACTTTAACAATTAAAATGCAAAAACAAAATCAAGATATAAAAATATTTTTTCTTTTTCTGCTCAATAACTAGTTTATACATATATATACGCATAAAATATTATTACATTGCTAGAGTTAGAGGGTCAAATAAAGTTGGAAGAGATGTGTTTTTAGTCATTTCTTGAAGATAAATTAATTTCTATTAAAATTAATATTCATCATTAGAAAACTGATTAATGTTTAATACTGACTTTAGTTTAATTAATTTTTTCCCCACATCAAGCATTTTTTTCAAGAAAGTTAATTATAAAACGGATAGTTCCGGTCCTTGATTCTGATTGGCTGAGCCACGTTCGAAGCTGTTGTAAATTACTCTAGAATAGAAAAAGAATAGAGCAAGCTAGTGTTAGAGGACTTTTTTGCTTTTGTTAATTGTATAATAAATTAAAAGAAAACAGAGAATACAAAAAGATTAGAAAGCTAGTTAGTTTTTTTTTTTAAAGAAAACAAGCAGCAAATGCTACAAATATACGCCTTTGTTTACGTTTGTGTGTTGCTCGGCAACCACTGTTGCAACCACAACTGATTCTGAGGAACTACATTGTTTGGTGGAAGAATAATGTTTTTATTAATATCATTACACTTTATTTGCTCTGTTTTATTTTGTTAAACCTTACTACGTATATGGAATAACCGTTTTATAAAAGCAATAAGACCCGTGAAGCCGTGGTTTACAGTAAATTTATAACAGCTAAGGGGATTATAGCTAACAGCTAACAGCTAAGGGGGTTATTTGCGTCGTGCCTAACAACGCCCCTTAACTGTTATAAATTCACTGTACCACGGCTTCTTGGGGCTTATTGCTTTAACATAACATTAACATAACAAACGTGAAAACCTCTGATTTATTTACCTACATCAACACTGCCACTTATTATGTTCCTATTTGTTTGTTGCATTATTATTATTTTTTTTTAATCATTAATTACGTGGATTCATTTTTTACATTTTGGAAAACTATGTGGATTCATTTTTTACATTTCAAAAAGCTGCAGTTTTAAAGGGGTCATGAACTGAAAAATCAAATTTCCCTCGATCTTTCGACATATAAGAGGTCATTGTACTATAAAAACATCCAAGTTTCAGAACTCAAAACTTTCTCGTTAGTCTAAAATCAGCCTATATTGAAGCCAATCTGCCAAAACGACAGGTTGTGGAATGTGCCACTTTATGATGCAATAGTGTGGCTAAACCCCGCCTCCGCTGGAGATCATCAACGCCTGCTTCTGCATCACTGCCTGTTTAGCCCCGCCCACCGATTCGCGCATGTAGTGTAAATAACGAGAGAGGCAAACGCAGGTCTACACAGAAACCAAATGATAAAGATGGCTTCGAAGACAACAAGAGGCTGTGCAAGAGGCTTCTGATCCCAACATTAGGAAAGTGTGGATGAACTTTATTTTTAATGTTCCAGACCGCATCAGTAAGAACTTGGCCTTTGTTCACTTCATTTTACCGTGGATTCGTTTACAAACAAGGCACAATTCGATACGGGATTTTCAGAGATTGAAACTAAAAGACGATGCTGTGCCAACTACATTAGATCCGACAGTAATGTCGCACCACACAAGTGTGAGTAACTGTTTTTATTATGTGGTCACTATTGCTTTGTCTGTTATTAACATAGCAAAAATCTTGATAACATTATAAGTGGACCTCAGAGAACAGTACAAAATAATAAAAAAGGCAGTTCATGGCCCCTTTAACAGGGGTCTGTAGACTTTTAGACCTGCTCCGTGTGTATATACATGGGAGGCCTGCAGTTCAAAAAAGTGAAGAAATCACTGTTACAGAACCATGTCTCACCTCCAGCAGAGCCTGAAAGAACTTCCTCTTCTCCCATGGAAGGAAACCCCGGTCCAAGCTGGAGATGTAATACTGGCGTTTACGACCCACTGGCCGCCCGCGGAGGTGGACTTCGTTTTCTGAATCTCTCTCCTTAGACATGTTTCCCATCAGGGTGCCGAGAAGCTTAGATGCGTGGGGTTTCTCTTTGCCGAACAATCTTGATTGAACCTTCGACGTAACACCATCAATCTGGATTGGGACAAGAGATGGAGCAACAGCTGGCTCCAATTTAGAATTATTATCTCTTTCCTCTTCTTCATTTGCTCTTTTCACCCTTGCTGCTCTTTCGGCCTGATGTTGACTGATTAAAGGAGATTTCTGGTCTTCATTCGAGTGTTTTGCTGGCTTGTTCTGGTCTTGTTTTTCAGAGTTTTTATTGTTTAGTGAAAGCTTAGCTTTGTCTTTGTACGGGCCCAACAGCACTGCTTTGGTCAAATTAAAGCCTTTAATAGTGATGTCACCTAATGATAGCTTCTCGTTCAGTTTCTCTAACTCAAGCTTCACTTCCTCAGGCAAAAGAGATTCATTTAATGCAGGCACCTGCACAATCTCTACACTGCCATGGGCTTTCTCTCTAACTCTCGGGCCTTGTTTTTCTTTGGGAACATTTTCCAACTCAACCACTGGTTCTGGGGTCACTATGTTCGGTCTGGGCTCCTCGTCTTTCTCCCGCACCGGATTGGATATGTTTGATTTGGGGAGCTCTCGGGTATCCACGGCTACAGAGAAAGTCATGGTGAAGTCGTGGTTGTCGGCACCCTGAAAGGTGATGTTGTAGTGGATCTGGGTGGCATTGTGTCCGGGCAGCAGCAGCAGGTGGATGGTCTTCCATTTGTTGGCGACAGAAGTGTGACGGAGCGCTGGGTTATCTGCAACCTGTGCCTCGAACACGCGGTTAGCCAGGCCTGAGAAGCTAAAATACGGTCGGAGCTCTCCCCGAGGCAGGGTGTAAAGCGTCTGGTTCCTCCGGAGGACGACACGGTGCAGTTGGTTGAAATTATCTTAGAAATGCACAAACAAACAGAAAATGTGTTAAATCAATTACTACTAGATTTAATAAGAAATACTCAAGTGGTTCTCAAACAGGGGGACAGGGCCAGGAAATGCTGAGTTCAACATTAAAGTGTCCAGAACAGTACACTGTGAACCCGTCCAGTGCTATTCATTTTAATGAAAAAGATGTGTTTAGGCTCATATGTTTAGCCTTGTGCAAAGTCTATGCACACCTCATCTTTCTTTTGTTCATTTAATTTAGTTCAATTTGTTCTTATCAGGTTTGTGGCTTTGGTGGGGACATAAAACAGCCCATTAAATTTGTTTGCCTGCAATTTTCATGTCATGGGAGGCTTCTTAATGACATTGCACATCACTTTTTAATATTAAAAATGAATTGGACCAATGATGATTCTGAAAGTTCCTAACAGCATTTCTCCAGTCTTTAGTATCACATGATACTTCAGAAATCATTCTAATATGCTGATTTTGTGCTCAAGAAACATTTCCTATTTTTATCAATGTTGAAAACAGTTTTGTGAAAACCATGATACACGTTTTTTCTTTTATGAAAACAGCATTTATTTGAAATAGAAATCTTTAACTATGTAAAATGTCTTAACTGCCACTTTTGATTAATTTAATGCATCTCTTTTGAATAACAGTATTAATTTCTTTAAAAAGGTAGTACTTTACAGTAGTGCATGTATTCATAGATCTTTTGTATGTATGCAGAATTTGCCTTATAAAATGTACATTTTAATTCAAATCTGCATTAGAGGTAGATATGTGGGGGCGTGTTAGAACGAGCCGTTTTAGGGTGGCGTGGCAGAGTCTTAACTTTGATCAAGAATATCTCTTTGGTTTTGAGACTTTAGTCTTTGCAACTTTAGGGATCTTATCTATGCACAATCAGCATATAACACTCCAAAGAGAAAAGAAAACTTGAAATCGCATCATATGACCCCTTTAAGTAACTTGATAAGTTGATCACTTATCAAGCACAAATTGGCTTAGTTTTTACCCGTGTGTGAAACTGCAGTGACGTGTACCTGTGAGATGGCACTAAGGTCCCAGAACAGGTACGCCGGACTGACTGTGAGCTCTTTTCCTTCCAGCGTCAGGTTCTTCTTGGCCTGCTGGGTGAGTTCAGTAAAATCCTGCGCTGTGTTTAGGTGGAGAAGAGCAATACTGGCCTCCGAGTACAGCTGCAACTGAGATATATACATATACAAACAGTCACTCAGCAGCACAGACTACTTCCTATAAGATCACAATATGTAATATGATATATGATTAAGTTAATTAAAACTAGAGGGGAAAAAAAAAAAAAAAAAACCTTTAAACCCTAAATACATACACTAGTGTTCAAACGTTTGGGGTAAGATTTTTTGGTTTGTTTGGTTTTGTAAGAAATTAATTATTTTTATTAAGGATGTATTAAGTTGATCAAAAGTTACAGTAAAAAAAAATATTTAAAAAATGCTGTTCTTTTGTACTTTCTGTTAATCAAAGAATCCTGAAAAAAAATGAAATATCACAGTTTTCACTAAAATATTAAGCAGCACAACTGTTTTCAACATTGATAATAATAAGAAATGTTTATTGAGCAGCAAATCAGCATATTAGAATGATTTCTGAAGGATCATGTGACACTAAAAACTGCTGAAGTAATGGTTGCTGAAAATTGAGCCTTGTCATCACAGGAAAAAAGTTTTAAAATATATTAAAATAGAAAACATTATTTAACATTATTATTGTTTTTACACTATTCATAACTTTTTACACTATTCATAGCCTTTGTAAGCATCAAAAACAAAATCTTATCAACCCTAAAGTTAGAAGTAGAAGCAGATAAAAATGCAACATCAGGACTCCACCAGGGCTTCCCCACGACCTTATGACTTTGGGAAAATAGCTTTTATATTTATTCCCAGCACTGGAGGTGTGAGCAAAGCTTCTTTTTTTTTTTAATGCCTGCTTATCAAAGCCCCACAATTTGTGCCCAGACTTTTCAAATCATTCCCATGGCACTGCTAAACCTACAGTAATAATACACATAGTAAATTGCACAGAACTACTTCTACTCTTTTGGCTGATGTTACTTTCCCCATCATTTCTAACTTCCTCTATCAGAAGGTTCTAGAGACACACAACAGCCATATGACTGCCAGCATGCAGCCAAACTCCAGCGATAATGAGTTTGCTTGTACGATCAGGTTTCCCTCAAAACAAGTTTTATCACTTGTCACAATGCTGTTTACAAGCACAGGGTCCTCATTGTTACCGTTCCCATACCTCCAGTTAATGCCAAATGAAGACTGCAGAGAGTCAAAATAGTTTATCTATCAACAGCATTTACACAGAAAATGTGTTTCCAGGAACGCCATCATCACTGCCATACACTTCAGAAGAAGGCCTTTTCATTCAGGCAGCGACACTGCTGTCATCACATTAATGAAAAACAATCTGCAGAACCCAAATAAATAAGGGGAAAATTGTAGAATTGTGTTTAAACTAAAGGTGCATATTTTATGTACAATTAAGACAACAGACTAAATCAATGTTATATAAGCTTACTTAGTTAATATTTTCTACAACAAACTATTCTGAACCCAAACCCTAAAACAAAAATGTTCGCATATTTATAACCAAGACATTATTTATGAATTGATTTTCCAATTGAGGACATCCCCAAAGGGACAATTTGCCAACTTTAGCTTACTTCTTGTGACAAATTTGTCCCCAACCTATAACCAAGTAGATTCCCCACACACACTTCACTGGCAGTATTTATTGTGTAACAGTGTGTGCATTGGACAGAGGTCAAGGGAGAGCTTTCATCAACATTGCAAACAGGCTAACACACACTATAAATATTAGACATCTCTCAACACTCAACTTCTCTCTCTCTCTTTCTTTTTTTATCTGTTCCTCAGCTTCATCCTTTGCTCTATTACCTTATGTGACCCACATTTGGATCGTAGACACACAATACTAAAGGGAAAAAACCTATAGAAGACTCCTCATCCCTCCTTCAGAAATTCAATAATGAGTAGAACAAGACATGGAAGGAAAGTTGTGGAGCTGTGGAGAGCAAGCATGAACGAAAGCAAGAATGAACAAGAAAGAAGTAAAACTAAATAAGTCAAGCAAGAACACACACACACACATACACACACACAAAACAAGAAACAGCAAAAGGAACAAACAAAAGCTAGAACAAAATTTTGCAAGCAAGATTTAAAAAAAAAAAATCAAAGAACAAACTAAAACAAGCAAAGCTGAACAAAAGCAAGAATGAACAAAAGCAAGAACAAATTTTTTGGAAGCAAGAATAAATGAAAGAAAGCATAGATGAACTCAAAAACAAACAAAATCAGAGAGGAACAAAAGAAACCAAGCAATCTTGAACAAAAGCAAGAACAAATGAAAGCAAACAAAAGTGATTGAAATCAAACTAAATCAAAAGTCAGACAAGAAACAACTAAATCAAGCAAAATCAAACAAAAGAAACATACAAAAGCAAGAACAACCATACGGAATCAAGAATAAATGAAAGTAACCAAGAATGAAAACAAGAACAAACAATACGCAAACAAAATCAAGGAAGAACAAAAACAAGCAAAGATAAACAAAAGCAATCAAAAGGTAATAGTGAAAGAAAACAAAAACAAACAAGAAAAATAAACATAAGAAAGAACAAACAAAAACAAACAAAAGCAAGCAAGTACAAAGCAAAGAAATGAAACAAGCAAACAAATAAAGTATTGTGAGGTACACAGAGCTCTGTGGGGAAATAGTGGAGAGGTAGAGATAGAAGGTCATCTAAACCCTGTTGCCTTTTCCAAGCGCAGGCTGGCGCCGGGCCATTCCAAACAGTTGTTGTACTGTTAACCCCCCCATCAGTCTACTCCAGTGTCACTGTAATACCCTGAGCTCTTATCACATGACCGCAGACATTGGCCTAACCAATGAGATAAACACTGATCCACAACACACAAAACACTGATTATTATTTTATAGATCAATGGATGGGAAATGGCTATGTAGCTTGACACAAGCAATAGTTAAATATGACAAATATAGTAACTTCACTAGGGTTGTTGATGGATAAAGGCCTTAAATTCTCTGCAAGACTCAAACAGCCGTGTATTTCTAATGGATTTTACAATCTTGTGCGCCACCTTGTGGTCATGTCAAACACTGCATTCTACTGATTGTCTTATTTGAGAGTTTTTTTTACCTGTTTGATTTTACTGGTCACCACAGCTGGTAGTTTGACCCTGAGCTGCTCAGTTTCCTTCAGTGATGCTGGGAACCCGCTCAAGTAGGCTAGAGTTTGCATGCGGACCAGCCCCGGAGCCTCTTTATCAGTCGTCTGTCACAGAAACAGATGTTTAGACTCCATGAGTTTCACAAGGATTTTGTTTTAAAACTATTCCTTTGCGTTTCACACAGAGATGATGTATAGTATAGTATAATTTTATTTAATGCCATGTCAGCATCTGGGGCTATTTTCATGGCAAAAACGCAATTACAATAATGCAAATATCACATGAATACAATAAAACCAAGCAAACACAGCAAGTAAGATTTTTTAAATTAACCTGTGATAAAAATTCTAAAACTTTTTCAGGCAAAATCTTACTAAATAAGTCCTTAAGTGAACTAACTTCATAAAAGAGCTTTCTACTTGCATTAAAACGGGGACAGTCCAAAAGAATGTTTAATAGAAAGGGGGGTCTTGCAGAACCAGGGATGATGCAATCCATTATAATGAACTGTGAGTTTCAGATAAGGGGCACCTACAAAATGTACAGTGATGTGGGTTGCCAGGAACATAGCTCAGGAATGCTAATAAAACATTCATCAAAAGGACATTGTAAAAAAAAAAGTTCCTCTTGTTGGTTAAAGTATTTCCGTAGACATCATACAGCAGACATCACAACAAAAAACACAGTTCCCTTTTCTGTGAATGGCTTTGATTCGTAAAGCAGCACGAGTTTTTTGGTTTTGTACTGCGTTTTACTCAAATTTGGGTGTGGGATATTTCTGCTCATGTTCCCACTTTTTAGAAGATGAGGTGACATACAATAAACAAAATGGCAATCCATTGTTTTCACGTTTGTTTTGCAAGTATTTGATGATCAAAATCAGTGTAATTTTAGTATTATTTATATACTATTGTAGTATTTATTAATATTTTGAATTAGCTTTTATTTTTATATTTTCAGTCTTAATTTTAATATACGTTTCAGTCATTTTTAAAGTGATTTTGTCATTTTTATTTGTCTTATTTATTAGCTATTAGCTTTAATTCAATTACATTTTTATTTAAGTTTTAGTATTTTTGGTACTTAAACTTATTTAATTTCAGTTAGCTTCCAATGCAACATTTCTAATTTTTAGAAAAGTTTTTCTAAGTTCAAGTTTTAAGTTTTCATCTAATATTAACTATGTACTGTACATCTCCCTTAGTGCCCCATGTTTCTGTGACGTCATATATCCACATCTTGGTGAAGCTGGAATTGAAAATGTCCAAGTGTCGTTCTGTTACATTTTTGTGAGCATGGAAAGCAGAATTAGTCAATAAGAAGTGTTAGTATAGCAGTTATTTTTCTCACCAGATAACCTCTGCTGATGGAGTGTGTCAAAGTATCCTTCAAAGCATCTGTATGGGCTTTTTCAGCTGCAACAGGACATAAAACTAATGTTAGACTAACACCGAATCAGTTTTGTCCATGTTAATGGCCAAAAAATGTTGAAGTATATATAAGTTGTATAAAATGTTGAATGTATATCATTCTTAAGAGATTGCTTATAAAATAACATTTATTAATTATACATTTATATTAAATAAATAATTATAATTATATTATATTCCCAATTTCCGTTTAATGTGAGACAGTATATGAGTCTACTCTATACAGTATGTAGAATCATACTCTATAAAAGTGAGAAGTAGGTTATAATTGTACCTTCACTATGGGAGTGGAAGAGAAGAACAGACACGCTTGTGGAGGGGTGGAGAGGTTTGGCCACCTGTAAGAGTTGTTTAGCAGTGGAGAATGCTGCTGAAAGTGTTGGCAGCTCCTTCAACGTTATGTTGGCAGGAAGGGATGGATCCAACACCAGCACTGGGCCCATGATGCAGTGGGACAGCAGACATTCTGGCCTATCACAGGGCATACAGACTGAATTAAAGCAATATAAAGCCATTCACTCTATTATTCTGTAGTGCAGCAGTTGCTTTTGACACAGGAAAGCGCTGGTGGCATTAAAAAAACAACTGTGGCTGTGACAAAGGCCCTGCTCGCTATGCAACAGGAAACGTATAAACCACACAATATTCAGTTTGCTTCATGTACTGCAGACACATGAATAGGATGAGAATTAAACCCTTTCGGCTAATTTCTACTTATTTAAAACACTCACCTTCCCTTAGGAGCTTCAGTTATTTCAGATGCATTTTTCCCAAGACGCTCCCTAAAAAAAAAGGAAAATAAAACACTTTTAAACATCATTAAGCAAATTTAGTTCTTCTGTCATTAGCAGTTCATTCAGCACAGCCAGTGGTACCAAATAAAGATAGGTGTGTCCCACCATACTAAACATACTAAAATACAGGCCACAATAGATTCTTAATAGAAACGGCACATACAAATACTATAACTGCATTTTTATTTGATTAAGCTTTGGACAAATCTTTAAAAAAGTGACTTTTAACCATTAATGATGAGATGCTAAAACGTTTGCCCCTCACTCATAATGGACAGGTGTATCATTCAAAATACGTTGTTTTGAATAAAATAACAAAACAAAGTAATAAATAAAACTAAGTCTGATCTAAAGTTAAAAGAAACATTATATTGTTTCATTTATGATTTAATAATCCATTGATCAAATGGTTAATTCCATCAAATATGGAGAATGTTTATGCAGAATGCTTATGCAGAAAATGCAGAATATTTATGCCATGTGTAATTCAAAGTACAACGTTTTGCAAAAATAATAAAATAAATTAATAGTAGTAGTAGTAGTAATAATAATCCTTTTCTAAAGTTAAAAACATTATCATTTATTTATTTATTACTTGTTTTTTTATTTACTTTATGATTTATTAACCCATTAATCAAATGGTTAAATAAATACCATCAAATTCCCACCATGCAGAATGCTGTAAACCATGTGCAATTCAAGATACACTGTTTTAAATTAAATAAAATCAATACTAAAATAAATGAATAATAGTAGTAATAATAATAATAATCATCATCCTGTTCTAAAGTAAAAGACACATTGTAATTTTCAGTTCCTCTTTTATTAACTCATTAATCAAATATTTAAATAAATACCATCAAATTCCCTCCATGCAGAATGTTGTGAACCATGTAATATTCAAAATACATTGTTTTGAATAAACTAAAAATAAAATGAAATTTATAATAAATTTATATAATAAAAATTATGAATAACATTAGTAACAGTAAAAATCCTGTTTAAAAAAAAGAAAAGAAACATTATGATTTATTTTCCTTTATTAATTATTAATCCATTCATCAAGTGGTTAAATAAATACAGACAAATTTCTCCTCAATTCCTGGCTGGGATAAATAAATACTACACTAAAAGTCAGTGTGTGTTTTATGGGTGGGGTACCTCAGGGCCTTCTGTTCTTCTTCCAACTGCTGTCTCACAGCACGAAGATCCTTCAGCAGGCCTGTGTCTGTGCCATTTACCCAGGTGTAAACCACATCAATGGGCATTGGTAGGCAAAGCCTGAAATTATACATTATACGAAGCAAGGAAGGTACGTGATTCCAGAAACATACATATGAAAATGTGTATTTTGTTTTTAAATCATGCATTAAAAAAAATAACAGTAATGACAAATTGATATATGAACTGAATTTTAGTAATTTTCTGATAATAAGCATGAGATAACTGTGCCTCTTAAAGAGAGACACAGGGCTTTATTACTGTTCGTGAATGAAGCAATGATGCTGGTTTCATTGATCTGTTGCTCACCTGGTCTGAAAGGACTTTCCTGCAACATTATCTCTGTAGGAATCAAACAAAACATGGTACTGATCTCGACTCCACTCTACCACAACCTGCAAACCAAACCAAACAAAACCGGCCAGTTAATACACAACACCAAACCCTCACTAAAAAAGTTTGATTTGCAACCTCTATGCAGCAGGTCAGAGTCAGATTGCACAATCAGCTTTGATCAGTAATCAGTGATTGACACAGAATGCAAAGATAAGAGGATACATGCATGGCCTAAACGCGAATCTCTTGAAGATAGAATACTTCTGTCGGATGTATTTTATCCTACTTGGTGTACATACCTCTCCAAACTGAAAAGCAGACACTATCATGAGGACTAGTCCTCCGAAGCACAGGTACAGTCCATAGCGATGAGACAGACAGGTGTATGTCTGCCGCTGCAGCAGTTTCAGAACCGAATTAATTATCAACATGACTCTCCCCAGCCATCAACATCTCTTCCTCCATAAACAATTAATGAGGACACCTGTTTCCTTCGGTGAAATTAAAAATAGCTTCATTACACCAAAACATACAATCACATGATCGCATGCTCAACAATCAAACGCTGTAGTTCCTCATTGGTAGTGATCAGGTGATGAAACGACGCGCAATTCGTGTAGATCTATGCACATGACAGACTCGCTGCCGCCCTCTATTGATTAGGAGGACGACCACTTTATAAATGAAAACAATACATTTAAATGACATTATGACTTAAATATGATATAACTTACATAAATTAAATGTATAATTTCATTTATGTCATTTAAAAACGTCTGCCATTTAAATGAATATTTAGATATGTAAAATAGTTTTTGTGACTTAATAGAAATTGATAGAACTTTATAGAACCATGTATGTGCATACATATGCAATATATAATAATGACTAAATAGAAATGTATCTCACCATCAAAGAGAATGCTTATTTAACATAGGCCTACCATTTAATATTTAATACAAACATATTATTTAAAAACTATAAAGTCTAAAAAAAGTTTTTTTTTTTTTAAATGAAGAAATATTTACATTTATAAAACTGTTTAAAATTGTGTGTGTTGTGCTGTGAACAGAAAGTATGTTGAAATCAGTATTCGATGCAGGGAGCAGGACAAACTAGATGTCCTTAAAGAAGATATAATATAATATAATATAATAATGTGTATATTAAAGTGTAATATGTATTTTTTATTTAATATAAATATATATAATATATATACTGCAACAATGATAACACCCTGCAATTTTTAATTTTATTGAAATTTTTTTTTTAAATACTACTAATAATATTTTTTTAACGCAAAGTCATATTAATGTATTGTAATGGTGAGGCTGCACTTTTATTAATAATTTAATGCTCTTTTTGTTTTCATTTTTTCTGTGTTCAGTAGCCATTTAAAGACGTCTTGGTCCAACATATTGTAATGCCTGCTGTCAAAATTCATCTGCAAATAGCTGACAAATAGCTGAAATACCATTCAAATAGCTGAAATATAATTCATGACTTTGGTCATCATGACAAACTGGTTTAATGCATGCCAACAACGTAAAGTAGAAAGAGATTTATCTAAAATGTAATAATGTAGCGAAAGAAAGAAAGAAAGAACAGCTCTGTGTGTTCTTCACATGTGCTGGCGGTAATAGTCTATCGGTAAAACAATGAGGAAGAGAAAGATTCCCAGTGAGCACGTGACACTATAGATACAGTTATAACGTCGAGTTATTGTTCATGGTTCATACAGTATGTGTTCAGTGAAGTGTTCGTATCTTACTGTCTGATCTCTGCTGTCCACTTTGCTTTTGTCTCCGTGAATGGTGATGCACCGACTCAGCCCTCAGGAGAGATGGTTTGGTTCATGGAAGGAATGTGCTTTTTGCCTACTTTTCTGGTAATCTGGTCATCGAGTACGTTCATAATATCTTACATCATCGCATTAGTTCGACGAGATGTTGACGTTATCCTTCCTTACATTAGGTATGTCACACGTCTTTTTGTCTTGAGCTTGATTTTAGTTTGGCTACACATCTGAACTATACGAATTAACAATGGACTATACGAAAATAACATAAACCAGAAATAGCTTATAAAGTTATGGTATTAATAACACGGCCATGTTTTAAGCGGGTATTTATATAAAGCTGCTAGTTTTAAGAATCTGAAAAAAGTTTTTTTGCAGACAGCTCGTTTAGTTTCGTTTTCTACTTAAAAGTTGAATGTTGGCTCGAGTTCAAAATCAGTATTCATTGCAGGGAGTACTAGATTTCTAATACTAGATTTCAGGACAAACTAGATTTCTTTAAAGAATATAAATAATAAATACAATATAATGCGTGTAATATTAAGTAATATGTAATTCTTTATTTAATATAAATATATACTGTAGAATATATACTTTAACAATGATAACACCCTGCAATTTCTTTATTAAGTTTAATATTTAAAAATCTTTGTAAAAATTCTAATTAATCATATTTTTAAGTCAAAGTCATATTAATGTATTGTAATGGTGAGGTTGCACGTTTATTGAGTGTAATTCAGTAAACTGTGGAACGTGTGTGTGCTTTTTAAATATAAAATATTGCAAGTTTATGATTAAATGCTTCTGAATTGCTTCGGAAATATGAATGTTCTTATTTTATTATTTTTGTGAATGTCTCTGAAAAGTGATACAGGGGCCACTCCACCTGAGAGCTGTGTGTTTGGATTCATGTCGACAATCACTTCCTTTGCAGGTAAGACTAACAACCAGCCATTTGATTTCAGTTTGATTTGATTTCCAGCTCATATTTCAGACCCCCAACCAGCAGCTTCAGGAAACTCCTTACAGTTATCTGTGTGTCACAAACTATGGGAAATTGCACAACGTTGGCTTGGTTATGACATGTGAGAGGAAAGCAGTGGGAATGTCTCGAGTGTGCTTTTCTTTAGAAACAATGGAATCACACTCATTCTGGTCTCACTTCTCTTTCTGCTGAAAATGAAAACATATTTTTTCCCCATCCGTGACACAGCTGGAGTTCAGTGTTTTACAAACAGCACCACAGTCTGTGTAGGACTGCACGTAAAACCTCAAACAACTGCAGAAATGAAACTTAATGCCAAATCACAGGTTATCAGTGCAACAATCATCATGGCAACTCTACTATTTATCTATCTAATAGTATAAGTACTATTTTCAGTGCATTATCCTGCATAAAGTACTTGTATTCTGTTGTATTGCATGAGTGAATATTGTTTACTGTATTGCACAGCAATTTTAATCAATAAAATCAATGATACTCAGTATTTGTTTTCCAGCCTTTGCTACTATGTATGCTGAATATAAATTTGTGGAGAGAGTCCATGAGACAACCGGTGCCGTGTCCCCTCGTCTGAACAAGGTTTCTTTTGCTTTTGGCATCATCTCTTGTGTCGGCATGTGTTTGGTGGCAACATTTCAGGTATATCTTAATCAACCAAAATCTTTTTTGCTCACTTTTTTACTTAGCTTTCTCACCTTTATGTCATTCCAAATCTGTATGACTTTCTTTCTTTGGTGGAACACAAAAGAAGATATTTCAAAAAATGTCCTAGTGTGTTTTTGTCCATACAATGAAAGCAACTGGGATCCAAACTGCTTTGAACCCCACTGACTTTCATTAAACAGACGAAAACAGCTCTTTAAAATAGGGGGGGGGGGGGGGGGGGGTTAAATGATAACTCTCTCTTTAATGGCACTCATGTATGATGTTGCGTTCTAGGTGACGACGGTGATGGCTGTCCATGATGTGGGTGCTTTACTATTCTTCCTATTTGGGGTTACATACACTGTTATCCAAAGCCTGATATCGTACCGAGGTCATCCATATGGATGTTCCAAGTGCGTTTGCCATTTCCGTGCGTTCTTCGCTGGAGTGGCTGTTCTAGCTGTATTTCCCAGTATCCTTTCTAGGCAGTACCAATATGCGCTATTGGCTGACATTCTGAAAGTAGTTTTGCTAATGTAAATTTGCATCTACTTACATGGCTGGTCTTCCGAATCCAGCGTTGTGATCACTGCATGCTGGTTTTCCATGTAAAGACATGCAATGTTTACATTTCAGATCAAACAAATTGTCTTTAACGCCTCCTTCCAGCAATTTTTTGTGCAATTCCTGTCGGAACAAGCAAACTTCACTGGGACACCAATGATAAGGTACAATTCATGTCACTAACCAGACATTCCAGTACTTAAATTGTAGCAAAATGTATTACTGAATGTTTAAAGTTGCTCGTCTTGTTTTCTGAAGGACTACACGCTTCATATAGTGAGTGTTGCGTGTGAATGGATCACTACTTTCAGTTTTGTCTTCTTCTTTTTAACATACATCAGAGAGTTCCAGGTGGGTATATAAAAGTTCATTAGACTTACACTGTTATTCAAAAGTTTGGGGTCAGTAGTATTTAATTAAAAATTAACTGTTTCAAATAAATACTGTTCTTTTGAACTTTCTATTCATTAAAAAAATAAAATAAAATCATGTTACAGTGAAGACTGCTAAGTAATGGCTGCTGAAAATTCAGCTTTGCCATCACAGAAATAAATTACATTTTATAATATATTCAAATAGAAAGCACTTATTTTAAATTGTAATAATATTTCACAATATTACTGTTTTTACTGTATCCCATAATCACAGCCTTGGTAAGCAAAAGAAACTTCTTTCACGAACATAAAAATCTTACCAACCCCCAAATTTTTCACATTATTTCAAATCATAATTATATTAATTCATATTCCTTTTAGTGCCTCCAAGATCGTATTAACTTTTCTTTTATTTCTTTTTACAGCAATTCACACTGAAACTGACTGTTAATTTAATAGAGTATTCATGACCATGACATCATGCCGTTACAGTATGTTTTGGTGCATTTTTAATTAATAGAAGTGTATTTTTATACAACTTACTACATTTTCATGTTGAAAGACCTGCTAAAGTACTGTGTAATCATTTGCAGTGTATATTTTGTAGCTTGTATTTTGGTCTAGAAAAAGAGCATAAACATTTACTTGAAGTGTAATATACTCTAACCAGCTGATGCCAAACAATTTATAAAGCTGTTTGATAGTGATTCTCAATTTTAAAAGCGTTTATGATTAACCAAGACAAAATAGTTGAGCACATCCATATTCGCATGACTGTCAATCAATCTTCGCTTTGGTTATAGTTTGAAATTCTTGCTTTGTTTATGTTGGTTTACTCCATAATCATTCCAAAAATTCAGGTGAGCAACAGTTGTGTTTTAATCTTGCACTTTATGAAGTGGAATGTAAAAAAAAGTCCATTGCTTGCACAATGTGTCTGACTTTGTAATTGTGAAATAAAAACACATGATGATGATGATGATATTGATGTGTATGACTAAAGAGAAGTGATTGCTTTAATGTTTGTAATGATAGGAAGGAATAGCAGCGTACATTACCATCCAGAGGTTGGGTATATTATAAATTATTATATACATTTAATTCATAAAGAACATTTGTAATGTTACCAAAGATTTCTGTTACAAATAAATGCTGTTCTTTTAAACATTTTATTCACACACACACAAAAGCAGCACAATTGTATTCAACAGATTTCTGAAGGATCATGCGAGACTGAAGACTTGGAGTAT